GGGGGGGCAGGGGGGGGGGTCTTGTGGTGAATCCTCAGAGGCCATTTAGAGTTGCCAGTCAACCTAAGCTGCATGCCTTTGGACTGTGGGAGGAAGCCAGAGTACCTGCAGAGAAACAGGGAGAGCATGCAAACTCTGCACAGAAAGGCACTGGGTTGACCCGGGCTCAAACCTGATTCCTTCTTGCGACAGCACTAACCACTGGGCCATCATGCTGCTCTCCATGAAACATTCTGTAGCTAAATGTCCAGTTACTTTTGACCCCTTGCAGTTTATGTTAAAAGGGCTAGAATGTCCACACTGTTCTTTCTAAACTGATAACCTGCCCAGTTAAAGCTCAGACTTGGCACTTTAATGTAGCAGCCGTTGTGTTTTTTTTTATTTGAAACTGAATGTGCTGAACACAGAACTTATTCAGCTGTACATCAGACTATACTTGTTGTTCACAATGAAACAATAATGCTAGTCTGACCTTACAATACAGTGCAAGTGTACAGGGAATATTCTTAAATAAAGTAAGTACATGTAAACATTTACATGAACAAGTCTGTCAGTTGTGTTGGCTGTATGGCTGTAGGACTTTAGTGAAGCTCTTTGAATGTTGACATTTGGACATAGTAAAAATGACATGAGGAAATATCTGAACGGCAGATTCTTATGTACACAAATAAAACTGTTGTCCTGCCAAGACATCTGCAGTACATTGAATCTTCTGTGAACTATTCAAGCAAATAGCCACTAGAGGGCAGAGCAGTCACTCAGTGATTATACTCTAATCACAAGCTCGCTCTCTCTCTCTCTGTCTGACTGGTTGTAAAGGTTGTTCAGTGATAACAGCAATTTGATTTTATTAGAAAGAAATGGCTCATATGCTGATTGGTTGGGTGAAAACATCGATTTCAGACCCTGCTGCAGCGATTTATAAATGAGATATAACAGTAATAATGAAAACTATTAAAATAAACTCTTTAAAAGAATTTTGATTTCTAAGCAAAAAGTATTGTGTGTTTGTTGCATGAGACTACATATTAGCTCTTTGGGGTAGCCAGTCTTGCCTCTGTAGTATCCTTCACTGCTCAGACTATAGGAGCCAACCATAATATAATGCCATAACATCCTGAAATGACCACTTGCAGGTTCTGCTATTGGCCCAGCTCAGCAGAAGGTACATAGTTTCACTTTAAAGGCACAAATACATTTTTAGGTTTTCCTGGATTCGGTTGAGTTTCTATATTTGGTTGTTAAGTCCATTAAGTGTAAATCAATCTGTGTTAGACAAAAGTCTTCATTTCTCCCATAAAAAAAAGAAAATGCAACACAATCCTCAACCATTGAAAAACACAGCAGTGCTTAGACTAAAAACACTGAAACTTGGCATTATTGAAAATAAAAGCCATCCTCAAAACATCATCTTGTTTAAAATGTCACACTGTTATTCCAGTATTATTTTTGCTGGAACACGGGGTGGGTTGTTGTATGGCTATTTGGATCATTTGACTTGGTTTGATTTGAAAGTGTGTGTGTGGCATTGTGCCTCAGATTGTCATAAGATCACAAAAGAAAAAATGGTGGAAAAAGGATGCAAGTTTTAATAAAGTGCAATGATCTTTTAAGAGTCCAAACTTTAGTGAGAGGAAACAGAGCAACACTGCATGACATGTGGTGA